CATCCCGCGTGTCCCTGTCTGTTTGTCCATCCGCGCCCAGGCCTCGCCCCACCCCGGCCCTGGGGCTGTCCGGCCGCCCCCCTACCCACCGAAGCCGATCCCCTCCCTCAGGGCCAGCCCCCTGCCGCAACCCAGGAAGCTAGCCGGGACGACGCCGCCCCAGACCCAGGGCCGGCACCTCGACCTCGGGGTCCTGCACCTCGAGAGTAGATCAAAAGATCCGGAAACCCGAGCCTGGGACCCCGAGCTTGGGCCAGCACCCCGAGAACCAGGAGCCTGAACCTCAATATCTAGGGCTGAAATCTTGACATCGGTCCCTGAAACCCCAAGATTTGGAGCCTGAACCCCATCATATGGAACACGGACCCCAAAATTCGGCGCTGGGACCCCAAGATTTGGCATCTAAAACCCCAACTCTGGAGCTGAACTCTGAATTCTGTACCGGGGCCCTTGAAATCTGGGACTGGATTTCCAAATCTCAACCCTGGAACCCACTATCTGGGACTTGAACCCTGGGATTTAGGCCTCAGATTCCAAGATCTGAACCTTGGGATTCCAGGGGTTCTGAACATGAGTTTGGGCCTGAAGTCCTTGCTGCAGATCTGAATACTGAAAGCTGGGGCTACAGACCTCCAAATCTTGTCTCAGCACCCCAATATCTGAATGCAGAACTCCAGTACTGGATCCCAATACTGGGCTTGGGACTCAAACCCTAAACTCCCCCATCTGGTTGTTTAGCATCCCAAGACTGAAGCTGTGAGACACTGATCCTGAACAATCCAAACTGGGGCCTGGGTCTCTAAAACTGGACCCTGGAGTCCCAATATTTGGGGGTCTGGTTCCCCGAGTATCAAGGTCTGGAGACTCTGTGGCCACAGATTTGAGCTGAGACACAAAAGACAGTCCCTCAACAGAAATCTTGGAGACAGCAAGGCATGACCAGACACCCGCTCCAGAGCCCTGACCTCTGACCCCATTGGAGCCTGAGGACCTTGCTCCCTGGGGCGGCTTCCAGCTCAGGTAAGGTTATTGAGAGACCTCCTCGGTGGGGAGGGACTTGGGAGGAGCTTTGTGGCTGAGGGTGGAGGTAGGTGACAGCCAGGTCCCCTTTGGCACTCAGGGTTTCGCCAGGAAAAAGACATTCCCCCATGGGTCTGCCTCCATTTCCTGCTCTGCCTCAAACACTCTCTGGCACCAACCCTGCCCCTCTCTGACCTACTCATGCCCAGTCAATGGCATCTCCAGGTCTCTGGCACACACACACACACACACACACACACACACACACACCCTTGCCCTTACGGCTTCTCACCATCCGTCCTATCTGACCATCTCCAGCTGCCTCTCCTGTCCACCACTCCTCTTTCTGGTCCCCTCTGGCCACCACTCTTCTCAATGACCATTTCTGTTCACCTCTCCTCTTTCTGATCATCTTTGACACCCCTGTCCACAGCTTCTCTCTCCAGCCACCTCTGTCTACTGCTTCTCTAAATGACCATCTTCGACATCTCTGTCCACTGGGCCTCTCCTGAATCATCTTTTGCCAGCTGTCTTGGCCTCAGTCCACCCTTGAATGTAAGCCTTGGTCGCTGACCATCTCCAACCATCTTTGACATCTCTGTCTACAACTCTTCTCTCCAGCCACCCTGTCCATCTCTCCTCTCCAGCCTACTCTGTCCACCTTTCCTCTCTCTGACCATCTTTCACCATCCCTTGCCCTCCTCCCACCCCGACCCTAACTCCCAGTCTACAACCATCTCACCATCTCTGCCCTTTACTGCCCGCCTCTCTCTCTCTCTCTCTCTCTCTCTCTCTCTCTCTCTCTCATTCATTGATGCTCTCTGATCATTTCGAACATCTCTGGCTACCTTGCTTCTCTCTGATGACCTCTCCCCACACCCATCATCCTGACCAGCTGTCGTGGTCTCTGGCTGACTCTGACATGTCTGTCCTTTATTCCTCTCTCTGACCACTCCTCTTGCTTTGGACCATTTCTGACCACCTCTCCTGAACTGCCCACCTCCCCTCTCTTTGTCCACCTCTCATCTTCTTGACTGTCTCTAACCTCCTCTCCTCTCTGGTCATGTCTGACCACTTCTAATCATTTCTACCACCCTGACCGCATCTCTGTATGGCCATCTTCAACCATCTCTCTTTGGCCACGTCTAAAGCCCTCTGCTAAAGCCCACCATGACCAACTCCCCTATTCTCTGGTCCTCTCTGACCATTTCTAACCACCTCCCTTCCGTCTGTCTTTGTTCATTTCTGCTCCCTTTGTTCCTCTGTGACACATCTCTCTGAGTCTTTGACCATCTCCTCTGATTTTTTATCATGTTTGGCCACTTCTCTCTCTGACCATCTTTGGCCAGTTCCTCTGCTCTCACCCCACTGTGACCTTGTCTCCTGGTCTCAGACCACCCCAACCTGCCATAGGACCTCTCTTCTGGCCTCAGCCTGGCCTAACACTTTCCTCTTCCCTGCAGGCCGCCCCTGCCCGCAATGGCCATCCTCCCATTTCTCCTTTGCCTGCTGCCACTGGCCCCCGCTTCGTCTCCACCCCAGCCAGCCACACCTAGCCCGTGTCCCCGCCGCTGCCGCTGCCAGACACAGTCACTGCCCCTAAGTGTGCTGTGCCCAGGGGCAGGTCTCCTGTTTGTGCCACCCTCGCTGGACCGCCGGGCAGCCGAGCTGCGCCTGGCAGACAACTTCATTGCGTCTGTGCGCCGCCGTGACCTGGCCAACATGACAGGCCTGCTGCATCTGAGCTTGTCGCGTAACACCATCCGCCATGTGGCAGCTGGCGCCTTTGCTGACCTACGTGCCCTGCGCGCTCTGCACCTAGATGGCAACCGGCTGACCTCGCTGGGCGAGGGTCAGCTGCGTGGCCTGGTCAACTTACGCCACCTCATCCTGAGCAACAACCAGCTGGCAGCCCTGGCGGCTGGTGCCCTGGACGACTGTGCTGAAACACTTGAGGACCTCGACCTCTCCTACAACAACCTCGAGCAGTTGCCCTGGGAGGCTTTGGGCCGCCTAGGCAACGTCAATACGTTAGGCCTCGACCACAACTTGCTGGCTTCCGTACCTGCTGGCGCCTTTTCCCGCCTGCACAAACTGGCACGGCTGGACATGACCTCCAATCGCCTGACCACCATCCCACCTGACCCACTCTTCTCCCGCCTACCGCTGCTCGCCAGGCCCCGTGGCTCACCTGCCTCTGCTCTAGTGCTGGCCTTTGGTGGGAACCCCCTGCACTGCAACTGCGAGCTGGTGTGGCTACGGCGCCTGGCACGGGAGGACGACCTCGAGGCCTGTGCCTCCCCACCTGCTCTGGGTGGCCGCTACTTCTGGGCTGTGGGTGAAGAGGAGTTTGTGTGCGAGCCACCCGTGGTGACTCACCGCTCGCCTCCCCTGGCCGTGCCTGCAGGTCGGCCAGCTGCCCTGCGCTGCCGGGCAGTGGGGGATCCAGAGCCCCGTGTGCGATGGGTGTCACCCCAGGGCCGGCTGCTGGGCAACTCCAGCCGTGCTCGCGCCTTCCCTAATGGGACATTGGAGCTGCTGGTCACCGAGCCAGGCGATGGTGGCATCTTCACCTGCATTGCGGCCAATGCGGCTGGCGAAGCCACAGCTGCTGTTGAGCTGACTGTGGGTCCCCCACCACCACCCCAGCTAGCCAATAGCACCAGCTGTGACCCCCCGCGGGACGGGGATCCTGATGCCCTCACCCCGCCTTCTGCTGCCTCTGCCTCCGCCTCCGCCAAGGCAGCTGACACTGGGCCCCCTACCGACCGAGGCGTCCAAGTGACTGAGCATGGGGCCACAGCTGCTCTCGTCCAGTGGCCAGATCAACGGCCTATCCCAGGCATCCGCATGTACCAGATCCAGTACAACAGCTCAGCTGATGACATCCTCGTCTACAGGTGCAGGGTCCAGGCAGTGGTGTAGCTTGGGTGGGGGAGTGAGGTGGGGGGAGTGTTGGGGAGTACACCTACTAATACCCCAGACTGAAGCACAGTTGAGAAATGATGCCGCAAGGTTGCAAAAGCAATCAAGTAGCAGGATAACAAGAATCAGACAGAAAGGGTAAAAGAAACCTGACATCAGTGGTTAAAAAAAATCAGACTGTAAGGACAAAATAAATTAGACAGCAAATGTTAAATCAGGCTACAGGACTAAAAAAATATCAAGCAATAATGATAAAAGAAATCAGGCTGTATGGGTAAAAAGAAATAAGGCTGCAAGAGTAAAGAGCAGCAAACATAAAAAGGAAATCAGTCACCAAAAGTAAAAAGTCATCGGCCAGAAGAGTAAAAAGTTCATTGGGGGTTGGGGGGGATAAAAACAAATTTAAGTAGTGAAGGTAAAGAGAAAAAAACAGGGTTTCCAGATGACGGCTAGATACAAGCCAGGCTGCAGGAAGAAATGGAGATCAAGCAGGAAGGTATGGGGATCACAGGAATAGTGAAATGAGGCAGCCCTGTAACAAAGGAAGTCAGAACAGAGGTTGGCGGGAGGAGGTTACACAGAGAGTAGGCTTTGGGTTTCTACAGTGTGAACTGCTCCACGTGTTTGGAGTTCTAATACTGTGACATCTAAATCTTTGATTTTATAAACAAATTGAAACTAGTTTGATCTTCTACAAGCAGGAATATCCTGTTTGCCATTCTTGGGGTTTCGCTTCTCTCTTCCATGGTTGCAAACAAAAAACCTGGAGTTTACACAGCAAGAGGTGGGTCAGTACAACTTCTTCTCCCAAGCCAGAGAGCACTTGGTACATCTGCTATGACCACTTGTGGTCAGTGAGGTGGTTGCTGAGCCAGGTGCTGCTGTCACCAAAGTCCATCCTTGCATGGATGGCTGTGGATGACTCCCTGTCCTCACTTCCAGGCTGGGCCAAGGGTTCAGTCCCCCAGGCCTGTTTGCAAGGACTGGACCTCCCAAGGGCTGGGGTCTGCACCTTAGAAACCCAGTACCTGGATCCCCTTTTCCTCCCATGGGGCTAAACCTCAAGAGATTGTCGCTTGATTTCCTTTTCAGTCCTAAAAATCCAATGAGCTCATTCCACTCCTTTTCTCAGACAACATTAGTCGGTAGATTCCATGGAAGGCCCATCCCTGATAATCACACAAGTCCTGGCCACCTTGTCTGGGGGGGATGGGATGCATGCTCTCCTAGATAGTCACTCTCCCACAGGCAATCACAGGGTTCCCTGCACCTCTCTCATTAAAGCTGTCTAGGAATAAAACAGATTACGAAACAAGCTAAATCTCCAACAGGATGCACTACCATGAAAGGAAATTGGGTGGTAAGGATAAAAAGAAACAGGAAAGGTAAGGATAAATAGAAACCAGGCAACAGAGATAAAAGGGAATTAGGTGACAGAGCTGGAAAGAAATAAGGCAACGGGAAAAATGAAATCAGCAGTGATGATTGTGGCACATTAGTTTAATGAAAAGGGAATCAGATGACAGGACTCACTGAAAAGCCAGACTATAGATATAATAATAATAATAATAATAATAAGGCAATGGGGCTAGGGAGAAATTTATTGGCAGGTTGGAAGGAAATCAGGCAACAGGGGTACAGGGAAATCAGGTGGTTAGATTAGAGAAAGTTCTAGCTGTACACTAGAGGAAAATCAGGCACAGTCGGGAGAGAAGTCATGGGAACCAGAAGGGAATTGGGTGAGGTTCTGGAGGGAGATTGGGAGGTGAGATTAGAGAGAAATTGGATGGGAGCTAGAAGGAAGAGAAATTAGGTTAGAAGGGAATCGGGCAGGGTTAGAGCAAAACTGGGCAGTAAGCTAGAGAGGAATCTGGCAGCCAGGCTGAAGGGAACTTGGGTGGTGAGACCGGAGTGATATCAGGCAGAGGATCAGTCGGGAGAGAAGTCATGGGAACCAGAAGGGAATTGGGTGAGGTTCTGGAGGGAGATTGGAAGGTGAGATTAGAGAGAAATTGGATGGGAGCTAGAAGGAAGAGAAATTAGGTTAGAAGGGAATCGGGCAGGGTTAGAGCAAAACAGGGCAGTAAGCTAGAGAGGAATCTGGCAGCCAGGCTGAAGGGAACTTGGGTGGTGAGACCGGAGTGATATCAGGCAGAGGATTGGGGCAAATTTGGGCAGGGTGAGAGGGGAATTAGGCAGTTGTGTAAAATGAAACAGGACTGGAAGAACTCAAGTGGTATGCTACAGAGAAATTGGGCAGTGGGACTAGATTGAAACTGGGTAGCAGAGGCAGTGGGACTGGAGGGAACTCCGGCAACACACTAGAGGGAAACTGGGCATCAGGCCTAGAGCGAAATCAAACTGGGGAATTTGGATGGCAGGCTATGGGGAAGTGAGAGGGTGGGCTAACGTGACATTGGCTGACAGACTGGAGGGACAGCAGTCAGGTGGCTGAAGGGGTATCAGACCAGAGGGAATTGGGGTGGTGGTTAGCGGGAACTCAGTGGGCTAGAGTGAAATGGAGCGACGGAATTCTAGCCCCCAGGGGCTTGGGTGGGGAGAGAGCACAGGGTGGGAGCTGGGCAGCAGAGACCTGACCCCTCCCTACCTGCTCCTCCAGGATGATCCCGGCGGACAGCCGCTCCTTCCTGTTGACGGACCTGGCGTCAGGCCGGACCTACGATCTGTGTGTGCTAGCTGTGTACGAGGATGGTGCCACGGGGCTGACAGCCACACGGCCCGTGGGCTGCGCCCGCTTCTCCACGGAGCCAACACTGCAGCCGTGCGGGGCCCCACACGCACCCTTCCTGGGCGGCACTATGATCATCGCGCTGGGTGGTGTCATCGTGGCCTCAGTACTGGTCTTCATCTTTGTGCTGCTTATGCGCTACAAGGTGCACGGTGGCCAGCCCCCTGGCAAGGCCAAAGCTCCTGCGCCCGTCAGCAGCGTTTGCTCCCAGACCAACGGCGCCCTGGGCCCCACGCCCACTCCATCAGCCCCAGAGCCTGTGGCACCTAGGGCCCATACTGTGGTCCAGCTGGACTGTGAGCCCTGGGGGCCCAGCCATGAACCTGCAGGACCCTAGTGGGGCATCCACCTCCACGGCTCCTCTGGCCCCAGGGACAGTAGGACCCAGACACCCCACGGGATCTGGCCTCAGACTCACCAAATTGCTCACGGTTTTTAAAACTCTGATGGGGAGGGTGTCGGGGACACCGGGGCACAACAAGAAAGTCCTATTTTTCTAAGCTTGGGCCTGGACCCTTGCCCTTGTCTCTGTCTGTGGGGGTTGGGGAATCATGCAGGCTCTGGAGCTGGGGAATGTCTCTGGAAAGAGACATCCCCCTCTCACCCAGTTTGGCCTGATGTCCCTGGGAGAGGCTGAGGATGGTCATCCATTCAGTCAACAGACATTCCTTGAGCATTCACTCTGGGCATGCCCAGTGCTAGACAACGCTGCAGTGACCCAGACAGCCCTGAGCCTTACCTTCATGGGGCCTAATGTCCAGTGGGAGACAGACATGGCTCCAGACAGCAATAGCCCAGAGTATCCAGGAATGTGGTGATAAGGGAAGCTTAGAGGATTGTGATAGCCCAGAAGAGGTGCCTGACTCAGCCTAGGGTATGGTCAGGGAGGGCTTCCTAGAGGAGGAGACATGTAATCTGAAAATGACATCTGAAAGAGACAATTGGCAAAAAGCAGAAGGAAAGCTGTTCCAGGCAGAGGGCACAGTACAAGCAAGATTTTAACATGTACCCAGGCATCGAGGGTACTGTGGTAGCGGGGAGGAAGGAGGGGTAATCAGGGTCCAAGACCTTCAGGCTGAGGAGCTCAGACTTTGGCCTGATGGTATTGGGGAGCCATGGAGGATTCTATGCAGAAGAGGGATGGAGTCACATTGAGCCTTTAGGAAGATCCTTCCAGTGCTATGAGGAGGGAATTAGAGGAGGAGACTGAGGTGGGAGCCCAGAAGGAAGCCAGGGCAGGGACCTGGGTGGGTGAAGACCAGGGCAGGGCTGGGGGAAAGAAGAAGGGAGTGGGTGATAGAGACATTCAGGAAGCTGAGTGGAAGGTTATGGAGCTGAAGGGCCACAAAGGAGGGGAGTGTCCGGGGCAAGATCCCAGCCTCTGGCTGGCGCAGAGAGATGGTGGGGCTGCCCTGATACAGGACTAGGGAGGAGGGGCAGTTTTGGGGAAGGTGCTAAGGCCAGTGAAGGACTCATTGGATATAGAGGTCCCAGAGGAGGTCTAGGGGTGGTGTCAAGGAGGCAGCAGGACCCCTGATCTGAGGCTAGAGCTAGGGACAGAAATGAGGGCTTTGTCAGCAGAGATGGGGAACTGGGGCCCCTGAGGGTGAGATGGCCTCTGGGATGGGTCCCAAGTCCCAGCCACTGGGACTTTCCATATTCAAGGGAGAGGCAAAGAAAAACTTAACAAAGACTAAACAGGAACATCCTGCAGAGGGGCAGGAGGAAGAAATCCAAGCAATTCAGACCCACGTGACTGCTGTGTTTAATGCTATAAAGGCTGCGGTGACTCCAGCAAGAGCAATTGTTGGAGACTGGTTGGGACAGACACCAGTTTCAGCTGATTTGAGAGTAGGAGGTAGGAAAGTGTAGATAGGGAGTGTAGACCCTAAGATGCTGTGGGCCTGGAGCCTGATTTGGGTTGATCTGTAATTTTTGACCCCATGTCTCCCAGGGTTGTTCCTCACTCTGTCTTGAACTGTCCTAGGCCCCCTCAGACACCAGGCATGGAGGTTTGTAGGACCAAACTCTGGGCCTAGAAAATGTCAGGCCTCATTGGAGATCCAGGAATGAGATGGGCAGAAAGAGAAATAGTGCTCCCTGAACTCGGGGCTTCTCTACTGGTGGGTCCAGAGGCAGGAATGTGGAGGGAACTTGGGTCCTGTCAGCCTTCTGGAGTGATGCTGGTGTGAGGGCGTGGTGAAGAGGGCCCAACATTAGACTGGCCGTTCTCACGACCTGGTGCACATGACCTTGTCCTCGTGGGATGACAAATCCTAGATTTGCCCCCAGCTTTTTTGGTAGGTCTAGGCTTTGGAAATGATACTCCATTAGCCATGGGGACAGCCTGAGTCCCAGGGCCTGGTCTGACCCTGCTGTCCCCTAGCAGTATCATGAGGTCCTACCTCTTGTTTGTTACCCTGGAGTGGATGAGGTCAGTTGAGGTCATCAGACAGAGTGAGGGCGTAAGTCTTGGGGAAGGGGCCCAGGGAGTGGGAGGATTGGGTGTCTAGTACCAGCTACAGAATGCCAGTTGCTGCCATGAGGGGGGACCAGAGTGCACTGTTCCTAACCCTCATTTTTAAATATGAACAATCTTTACTATGTGCCTACTGTGTGCGACACACTGGGGATTCAGTGCTGAACAAGTACAGGCGAGAGTCCTGCCCTCATATATCTCACCATCTGATGGGGACACAGATGTTAAGTAATCGCACAAGCAAGTGTAAAGCATCTGTGGTGACAACGGGCACCATGCAGGAGAGATGTATGGGACTGGGAGACCCTATAACCAGGAGACCTGACTCAGGAAGAGAGGTTGAAGAAGGCTTCCTGGAGGAGAGGGCATTCCAGGTAAATGGAACAGCATTGCTGAGGGATGCATGGTGAGTAAAAGCAACTGAAGGAGACCAGGGGGTTGGAGTGGGGTGAGGAGAGTGGAGTGATGCGGCGTTGAAGCCAGAGAGTGGGGAGGCGGCAGGTGACACAGCACCTGCAGGCTGCTGGGAAGAGTCTGGACTTAGAAGCATGAGATGCCATTGGAGGGTGTTGAGCTATGAGGAGAGTGGTGTTCTCTGATCTCAAGGAAGCTTCAGTGGCGGATCTGTTTGTGTGTGGGAGACTGAGGAGGAGGATACTGCAGTGGTCCAGGCAGAGTGGTGAACTGGACCAGGCTGGGGCCTGAGGCGGGTGGACTGAAGAGAGATTTGAGACTACCTCACCAGGGGCTTCCATCTACCCAGCGGAGGACAGTGCGGACTACGGTCCAACCACCCAGTTCTCAGGCAACATTGCAGAGAGACTGAGGTAGAAGAGTTGTGGGCCCCTGGTCTCTGATCTAAGGATTCATCCCTAAGATGGGGGAGCTGACTTCTCTGCAGCATAGGAATGGAGGCCCTTTTCCAGGTTCAAGTACCAGGCAGACAGTGGGTGGAGGCTCTGAAAGGAAGAGGCTGTGGCTGGACAGGAGGAATGTGGACACAGGAAACAGGGCTAGAAGGGGGATAATGCCCTAGTGGTCACTTTATACAATTTTGGAAGCAGGAGGGTGGGAGGAGGGACATGGCCCCTTAGGCTTCCCCTCAGGATGCCTAGACCATCCCCCACCCCCACGCAGAAACAAATGATCACCTGTGTCTAGGATTTAAAGTTAAAATGTAGCTTGTCCAACACTGCCCAGCTGAGTCCAGTATAATTTCCTGAACTTGGACAGTGCCCTTCTACCGTCCATTCCCTTCTGACTTTGGAGAATACCCTGCACATTTTTTAGACCAAAGCTCCAGGCTACTGGAACATTTTCTAGAAGTGACTGTACTCCTGAGACCAGGACTTTCCCCTGTCTGTGTGTTGCCAGATCCAACCAATGTGTCTGGGTGTGGCTAAATCTGACACAGGCCCTGAGAGTCTGGGGATACTTGTGATCCCCCACAGGGCCTCATTTAGTGCCAGGCTTTTGCAGCTCTTTGCATGGGCACATATGTGGGAGCATCAGATAAAGGGATGCTCCCAAAGAAGATGTTTCTGTTCTGGATTGAACTTGGGCCTGGCTCCCACCTTTGGTTCCTGCCTGATATCTGTGCCCTCTCATGCCTCACAAAAGCAAGGATAAGTACCAATGCTTAATGTTGGTCTGATCTGTGTGGAACAACACCAGGAACATAGTGGTGACCAACACAGCCCCAGACCCTGTCCTCACAGACTTCCAGTTCTAGAGGAGGAAATAGATACTTGCCAGACAATATCATCCCAGAGTGGCCTGGGCTGGGATGGGGAGATCACAGGCAAGAATGAATACAGCCTGTTTTTGCAGAAGCCCGAGGGACTCCAGGAGCCCGGAGGGGCCTCCTAGCTGAGCCTGGGATGGGAGGTGGGGAGAGACCAAGATTTCCTGAAGGCAGGGCGGGCTGTATGGCAGTGTGACCTGTGGAGTCCCTCAGCGCCCCACACTTAGAAGGACCCTATGCTTGGTTTAATGCCCTGCTGTCACTATCTTGAAATTCTTAATTATTTTTGAACAAGGGGCCCCACATTTTCATTTTGCACTGGACTCTGCAAATTATGTAGCCAGTCCTGCCCGAAGGAGAAAACGCTTGAGGGAAATAAAAGAGAGTCGAAGCAAAGAGGGTCTTCTAAAGAGAGAGAACACTGTGGGTGAAAGCCAAGAAAGGAAGGGAGGATTGTGCCCTTGAAGAACTGGCCAGAGTTCGGTGTGGCTGGAGCATGGAATGGGAGGAGGTGGGTGGTGACTGGTGAGCTCAGGTAGCAGGCGGAAGGCAGGGCACTGTGGAGCCAGGGAAGGTGCTAAACAGTGGAGGGACAGGGTCGGGTTTGCCCTTCAGAAAGATCCATCTGGCAGCTGTGAGGAGGGTGGATAGGGGTGCATGGCCAAGAACAAGGTGGCGGGCTCGGCTGCCTGTGCAGGGGGCTGGGAGTGTCTATGACCCTGAGGAGGAGGTTGGGGAGGAGAGGCCAGTGTGGGCAGACTTATAAAGAACCTTGAATGCTTGGGTGACAGACACCCCAGCACACCAGGAGACCAGCTGGGAAGACCCCCAAACCACAGAATAAACCCAGAGCTTCATTTTCACTTGAAATTTTTCACAGGGGATGGGGGGAGCTCAGGAGGATATGTTACAGAATGTCACTGGTAAGTACTTGAAAATCTTTTTATATAAGAACTCGCATGGATAGACTGATGGAGGTGAATACAAAATTGGCAATAATTTAGGGTATAAAGTGTGAGAATTCAAAGGACTTTATTCTGGGTGTATTCTAGCTTCAACTCCTTGAAACCCCTGGGGCGCACTACACAGTCACCCGCCCTCTGGATAAGACAGCAGTTCCCTTGGGAACATCCTCTTTGACTTTCTCCTAAATGCTGTGGCTCCCAGGGCTGGGAACTGACCCCCTTCTCACTTCTCTTCTCACCTTGCTCTGGCGCACCCACCCCTAACACCTCAGTTTTCCTTCTCTGTGATGACCTCACATGTCCGTCCTCATCCCCAGCCTCTGTA